AGTGATAAAGTCCGTGAACAAGCATGAGGAAGATTCCGGGCCCTCCAAGTCATCATCGTCTTCAGGGGGCTCCCAGGACGACCAGCCAGGCTCACCCGAGATCGCCAAGTTCTCTGCCCTGATCACACGACCCCCCCGGAGCCAGCAGAAGAAAGGAGAGTCGCCCCCAGTGGTCCCCATCCTCAAGATCAAGGAGGTGCAGAGTGCCGCTTCCAAGCAGAAGGAGGCTAAGGAGACCGCTCAGGGACAGCCCAAGGCCAAGGAGGCCAAGGATGTGCCGCCACTGAAGATCAAAAATCCTACCCCAACGCCTGCCAAGGGGCCCTCAACACCCAAGGCGGCCCCCACGCCAAAGACGCCAGCAGCCACTCCCAAGATGCCGGAGGAGAAGAAGTCGCCAGGTAGGATGCATGTTTTGCTCCCCCTCCCCCCTCCTGTGTCTCTCTTTCTATGTATGTATGTGCTGTTGTGTTGTATTTAACCCCTTGGGATCTAGTTGCTTCATGGCAATCCCATGGACCAAGGCATTAGGCTTACATGAGCTGCTGCTCTGATGGGAGTATGGCTTGTAGGCAAGGCACATGCGAACACGTGTTTGGTGACAAGACACTAGGCATCCCCTTTGCAATGTTATTTCTATATTTATCATTTGATTTGCTTTATCCAGATGGTAATAGATTGTTTTTGCTGTGCATACTATATCATCTCTCTAAGCATTCTAAAACTCAGTGCAAGAATAATAACAATGGAAATAATGCAAAAGCCCCATTCTAATTACAAGTTGTGCAAACACCCTCCAAGAGGTTGTGCACTCATGGCGAGTCTTTCCCATCACCCTGGCCTTCAGCTGAAATATTCACGAGAGCAAGTTTGAGTCACCCCTGCAAACAGCCAAATTTTCCCATGATGGCAAGTTCACATCATCTGCCCCTCAAGCCAAATTTTTTCATGATGTGATGGTCATGTCATCTGGATTGAAGGGGTTAAAGAATGGTCTCTGGAATGGGGCCACCGCCATACCATAACCGTAGGCTAGCATAACAGTACTGTTGATGTACACCGTATGTATAGGCAAGGTTTAGTATATGCATATCTGATTTTTTAACCCAATGTTGCCTGGAACATGAAGTATTGAGTGTAGTTTTGTTTTGAGATAGGTGTTTACACAAAGATGGCTCCTCAAGTACTTAACCATGAAGTAGTCAGTTAGTATAACTTGTAATCTCACCAGATTTCCTCTTTCTTTGAGTCTTTGGAAGGATTTTTTTTTTTTTTTTTTTTTTTTTTTTTACTAATGTTTGTGTGTATAAAGACAATAAACTACTAGATCCCCAACCTGCAAGGAAAGGCTGTTTAGTCTTTCACTATTTTTTTTTTCTTAGTTTTATTATAGTTAAGGTTTTAACACAGTTGATGATAATCGAAAAGGAAATATCCCTTCAGTAATAACATAACAACCTGGTTCGCCCTCCAATTCCAGGAAGCAAAAAAGTCCGGGAAAAGAAGGAGAAGAAGGAGAAGAAGGCAAAGGAGCTCAAGTCAGCTGGACCAGCCATGCCTGGCGGAGCTGGGCCTAGTTCCATGCCTGCCAGCAGCCTGGACGTGGCCCTCAATCCCCAGGTGCCGGCTGCGCCACCCCCTATTATGTCACCCCCCATAGACACGCCCAAAAGTAGCAAGAAGCAAGAGCAGAGCACAGGACTTCTCACGGAGACTGTTGGACCAATTGGGCATTTTGTGGTATGTTTTTTTCTTTTCTTCCTTTCTTTCTTTGTTCGTTCTTTTCTTCTCCTCCTCCTCCTACTCCTACTTCTTTGTCTTCTTCTCTTGAATATTTTGTCTGTTTCTGAAAGCTCTGAGTTTGAAAAGTAGCATTCCTCTCCTCTCCATTCCTCTCTTTTTTCTTTCTCGTGTGTGTGTGTGTGTGTGTGTGCATGTGTGTGTGCGTGTGTGAGTGTGTGTGTGTGTGTATGTGTGTGTGTGTGTGTTTTTGTGCACACCTATACCACAAGATCACTAGAAAAATAATTTTTACTTTCATCTGCAGGATGACCAAGGGAATGAGGTTTGGATTTGTCCAACATGTGGCAAGCAGGATGACGGTTCCCCCATGATTGGATGTGACACCTGTAATGACTGGTATCACTGGTAAGTGGAGTAGTTTTGTTATTATATTATGTTTTGTTTGGCTTGTTCTGTTTTCTCTCTCTCTCCCAGACTATTGTCATTACAGTCATTAATCTCTCTTACTTAGGGATGATATATTTTCAAAATCCTGCTTTAAGCAGTATACAGCTGATGTATACCCTCACTCTTTTTTACACATAGTTGTGGTTATTTTCTATAAGGCACCTTTGAATGTGGTGATATATTATATTATTTTGCATTAAGTATGACATTCATTTTGTAAATTACAGGGTGTGTGTGGGTATTCAGGTTCCCCCCGTGTGTGTTTTTGTGCACACCTATACCACAAGATCACTAGAAAAATAATTTTTACTTTCATCTGCAGGATGACCAAGGAATGAGGTTTGGATTTGTCCAACATGATATTATGTTTTGTTTGGCTTGTTCTGTTTTCTCTCTCTCTCCCAGACTATTGTCATTACAGTCATTAATCTCTCTTACTTAGGGATGATATATTTTCAAAATCCTGCTTTAAGCAGTATACAGCTGATGTATACCCTCACTCTTTTTTACACATAGTTGTGGTTATTTTCTATAAGGCACCTTTGAATGTGGTGATATATTATATTATTTTGCATTAAGTATGACATTCATTTTGTAAATTACAGGGTGTGTGTGGGTATTCAGGTTCCCCCCAATGACGATGTCAACTGGTACTGCCCGCGCTGCCTCTCACAACACAAGCAGCGTGGGGCACCTCCAGACAAAAAGAAGCGTGGACGGAAGAAGAAATAGAAGGACAGTGTTAGATGGGTCCTCTGCCATACGTTGAATTAGGATACTTGTTATTGTTGTCTTTTTCCAACTCAAAGGAGCACACACAACTTCACATCTTCCCCTGTATGTTTCATTGAGTGTCTTCTGGGCACCAAAGCCAGGCTACACTGGACTGGGGTTTGGGGGCCGCAGCACTTGGATGTCCTGTCGTCACGTACTGCCTCCTCCATCTACCTCCCAGCAGGCCAATGTGGTGGATGTGGGACCACGAACAGACTCATTTGCATTCATTGTGTGTGTGTGTGTGTGTGTGTGTGTGTGTGTGTGTGTGTGTGTGTGTGTGTGTGTGTGTGAGAGAGTGAGAGTGAGAGTGAGTTCATGCATGATTGAATGTTTTTTTGCCTGAACTTAGTTCCTCCAATCAGCGACTTGATGGTCTTCTTTATTTTAGTTTTTATTTATTTTTTATTATTTATTTTTTAACTAATTCATCCTAATGTTCCTCAGTTCTTTCCAACCACGTCCCCCCTTCACATCCATTGATGGACTCGCGTAAAGTACAAGCATGCGGCCGTGCTCAGTAAGATTGGCCCAAAAGTTGTGATATACAGTTTCCCTTCTTTGTTGGTCTACCCTTGTTACATGTATTTTATATAGTAGTAAACTTATGACAATGTAAAGTAGTTTGTTTTTTATTTCTTATTTATTTATTTATCTTTTTTTTTCAGTCTGCAGAAGTTTAATTTGCTTTTATTAAAAGAAAAAAAGGTAAATGTGAAATTGTAATACCTTGGTTTTGGGATTAATAAAGGAATATAGTCAAGATCATAGCAGTGAGAAAGAACACTTTGCACAACAAGAATACACTATTTTCCAAATTTTGGTACTTAAGTTATATATCAGTAGTATATAAACAACGAAATGAATTGTTGTTATTATAAATATATCTTTAATTTTTATTATAATTTTTTTTTTTTCCGAACACATCTGATTATGAACTCTTATTTAAAGAGTCTTCCATGTGCCTTCTGAAGGTTCCAGTTTTATTTTTATAGTATTTCCAAAGACTATATATATGTTGGAATGTATGTATTATTTCCTTTCACCTACGCACCCCCGATTATTCTGTAGTCTATTTATGTTATCCTCTGTATTTTATTTCCTTTCCTTTCGTCCCATAAATATATAAATGTATCTTTCTTCTATATTTTCCTCCCTCCCCGATGTTCTTTAATAATTCAGTCAAGCTCAATTTACTCATAAGCCATTTACATATTTCCCCATAGCTTTTAATCCAGAATCTTTCTTTACAGCTTCCCTCCCCCTCATCCCAACCCCCTCCTTCTCTAAGAAAAAAAAAAAAGTAGAAAAAAAAAAGCCAATAAATAAAGTTTTATATAGCCTTAGGATATGTTTTTAAAATGAGAGAAATAGCTGCATTTACTCTTCACATTTTTGGGCTTCTTTCTTCGTCTGCAGTTGCAAGAGTGCGGTGTCCCAGTCTTTGGTATCTATCAGAATTGAAAGAAGAGCCATTTTGGTTATTTATTTAATTATTTAGTTTTCTTCTTTTCTTTTTTTTTTTACATCTTAACTTTGCACCATCAGCTCTACAACCCAGTGGAAGTCTTAGTCATTTCATTGAGGAAGCTGTTACTGTTCTTTCCCAGATGCTGGGGCAATTCATCAGCTCCCACAAGACATTTAGAAAAAAAGAGAATAAATGTTACTATGCACACACAGTAGTTCTTCCCAAAGTTATACTTCATAATTCTTTTTTATTGCCTGACAATTGTAAAAAAAACAAAGGAAAAAAAGAATAAAAAAAAGAACAGGTTGATATTTTTGTTACTATCATAGCTCTAGGGATTAAGGAGTGGTTTGCTGTGGAATTCCTTCCCTCTGGGGGTAAGGGTAGGCTAGCACTGTACAGGTTTTGCGTATTATATAAAAGGTAGAGATATTTAATAAAGACCTGTATGACACCAAGTGTGATTTTTTGCCATGAGATGCCCTATCCCACACCCCCAACCTCTGGGCATCAGTTATTTAAAATAAAGAACAGTTTTACAGTTCTAAAAAGTACCTGCTTTGAATCTATGTAACTTTATTGAACATTATTATTGTTGCCTCTTCTGGTATTTGTTTATTATGACTTTGTAGATATTTGTAATTAAAGTATAAATACATGTGAGAAATATGTACAAAACTTTACCTCATTTTCCTTATGGAATTGCAAGGCTATGATGTTATTGAGGTCTGTTAACAAGTATAAAGATAAGACTTTATAAGAAAAAGCTATGTTGTAAAGAAACCATGAGAACATTTCTCCTTCATTTATAGGATTATTTTAATAAAACAGATATAGTGATATAGTATTTTTTTTATTATTAAAAAATAAAAATACTAGAACGGACTTGGCGGCATTTCAGTCACATAAATTTTCTTGGAGAGACTGAGTTTCGGGAGAAGGAAAGCCCTTGTTATGGTATCAATTTCTTCCATTGCTAACTGTGCATGAAGTCTAACAACATCGTCGGGATCTGTAGTGTGTACTAGTCGCAGGGCTCGATATAAATCCCGAATTACCTCCTTCAACACCTATGGAGACATATGATGAGAAAATAGTATATGCAAAATAATCAATAGATCATTTTAATTTTTTGCTGAGACAATGTCTGAGGTCCATGGAGTGTTACTTTTATTCATTTTAAGTACTTAAAACTATAAATAAGAAAACTATTTTCATATACACAGAATATTATTCATTTTCATATCAAATAGGCTTATTTTGAAGCATTTCATAACAGATAGTGAATGTTTTCATGACACAATTAAAAGTGTCCCTCCTTGGACAAAACAAAACACTTCATTAAAGTTCTATTCAAATTCTCCTTCAACAAAAAATCACAATACGTTCTCAATGACATGAGGGAATACAAACACCACTCCTACTACTACTGCTAAAATTTCATTCATAAAGTAGAATGAAGAATCATCAGCAATGTAAGTGGATCGGATAAATTTAATTCACAAAAATTGGGGAAGGGGGGAGGGGATAGTGTTATAAACAGCTAGACACCAGAAAATAAAAACTAAAAACTTGTCTGTCCCACAATACCAAACTTCAAATTCATTTGTGAAACTGCATTTATAGCACATCAAAAACTACAAATAACAATAATAATACAATGTAAAAGACTATATCAAACACTTACTGAGAATGCATCCTGGCCAAGCCCCTGTAGGAGCAGGGTTATGACCAATACAGCTGCCCGTCGCACCTCAGCCTCTTTGTCATGAGAGATGATGGTGTGCAAAAGCTGGAACACCTGGAAAGATATGAAGTATACAACAAGTGAAGTTGATTGCATACAAAAATATAATCAATAAATCATCATCATTATTATCATTACTTACATACTTTCTAATGAATCCAAAATGGTGACATGAAATACTTTACAACTTCATTTATTTTGTCAAAGACATAGGGTTAAAAAATATACATTTTTGAATCATACTAATGTAAAAGAAATAATACTTTGTAAAATATACAAAAACAAGTCTTCAAATCAAACCTGACCTCATGAACAATGGGCCCTATGCTGAAACGTAGCAATTTAATGACGTCTCCCAGGCTTGAGAGGCTTGCTGCCCGCACAAGGAGCTCTCCATCTCGAACTCCTGAAATTAAAGAAGAGTTTCTTAAAATAAATAAACAGGCAGGAATAAGAATGATTCACTCCACAATAAGGTATGTAATTGAGGTATGTATAATGTCAAAATGTTAATTATATATCTAGTATTTTAATTTCTTGAAAATGAAATTGAGATTGGGGAAAGTGTTGTTTTTATATACAGACAGTATATACTGCTTTAGTTTTTTCCTGTGAAATTTATTTTGCACAGATGGCTTCACAAGTGCCCAGCCATCAAGGAGTCAATTAGCAATGTGACCTCATCTGATTTCTCAATTCCTTAAATTTCAGTGATAAATGTCTTGTTCTAATTTTATAAAAATCAATACTAGAATCTCTCTGAAAATAAAGGAAAATAACAAGCAAGTAAGATGGGTATGACTAGTAACTGATTACCTTAAATACTTTTAACTATCTACTTACCATACAGACAAACAGCCCATTATTCTGTCTCTCTACCAAGGGTATGTTTGCCTGACATCACTCCCAGAGAGCTTCTCTACACACCTGTCAGCAATGCATTAATGAACTGTTCCTTGTAGTGTGGCAGAAGGGGCCCCAGACGCCTCGAAGCCCTTGTCAATGCCTCGGCTAACTTGGCTCTGTCCTCAACTGTACGCTCCCCAACACTGAACTCGGCAGTCAAAATGCCTACAATCTGGTCCCAAGAAAGGAAAGAAAGATCTCTAAACTTTATACAATTCTAGTGGATTCTTAACAAGTTCAAATACTGTTTATAAGTCACTTCATATTGAGTTTATATTTAAAACCTTAACACTTTCCTCCAGAATTCTAATAAACTAAACAGCAGGGAACATTTAAATCTTACCTTATCTGGATAAGCATCACACAAGACAGACAAACCCTGCACTGCCATCAGGTAGATATAAGAATCCTCATCCTTCAAATTATGCTGAAAAATTGTTAGAAGCTGGTCTTTGTGTAGTAAGGTTTCTGGGTCTCTCTGTTCAATCAGCTTCCCAAGGGCCAGGAGGGAGTGGCCACGCACTGGCAGCAGAGGACTAAACAGGTCATCCATGGCTTCCTTGTATGTGCTTTTTACTTCCTGAGACTGCATGTCATGGGACTTCTTATCTTCAACTTCATTCTGTAGTTTTCCAATATTATTTCTGTTCAGTTCTTGTTTTCTTTTAGTATCTTTTTCATCCAGCTCTACTTCTTTTTTCCCTGATTTATCATTTCTCCCTTTCTTGGTACTCGCATCTTCCTGTTTCCCTTGTTTTGCACCAGACTGGATATCTCCTGGCAATGTTTGCACAACCCCATGAGTGAGGAGGAGGTTACGAAGCTGCTCAATATAGAGGAGCACTGTCTCATCCTGAATATTTTCCCCTACTTCATCTAAGGAGGGAACAAGATTTTTCAACCCTTTCCAGTCTTCACTTGACATCTTCTTCCTGAGTGTACGTTCACTGACATAACAGGATATGAGCACAACAATATTCATTACAAGAGTAGTCTGAGTTTTCCGTAAGTGTTCATCATTGCATTCCTGACATCCAGCTTTGATGAGCCTATCCACAAAGGGCACAGCTGCAGACAGATCTTGGAAGAGGTCACTTGTGAGTGCCTCGCTGTCTGCAAGGAGGCTCAAAAGGTTTGTCCCAAGACTCACCTTCCTCATCCCCTCGAACTGCTCCTTTCTTACATCCTCCTCTGTCAGCAAGAGTGTCGGGGATTGTTTCTTCTCATTCAAGACTGTAAAGTTAATACATTCAGCAAGTCTCTCATAAAACTCCAAAATAACAGCACGGTTTTTCAAAGTCTCAAGAACCGTTATGAGGGACTTTGATAGTCTGTCATCATTTTCTAAGATGTTATCATCAGCAACCTCTTCAATATTAGTAACTTTCACTCCGCCTTCATCATCTATGCTAAATTCGACTTTTGGGTCAACTGAAGGTGAAGCAGAGGATTTCTTCAGACCAGACAGAACAAGAAGAGTCTCCACAGCCTCTCCTTTCTGTTGCTGTGATAAATACCTGCAAAGCAAATGCTATCTTGTAGTGATAGTTATATACATTATATGTGTGTGTGTGTATATATATATATATATATATATATATATATATATATATATATATATATATATATATATATATATATATATATATATATATATATATATATGAATACATATAAATATACATAAATATATATTAATTTATATAAATATATATATAAATATATGTATATGCATATTCATTTAAATATGCATGCATATATACTTACATGTATATTTACATACATATATATATATTCAAAAGATTACCATAAACAAGTTTAACAATAGCCAGAAAATTATACAACAAATGAACAATATCCAGAACACATGGCTCTTTTCTGAACTAACCTCACCAGAATCTGCTGGGCTTTGGAACGCAGATGTGATGTCATCAGAGCAGCAACTGCCATCAGGGGACACAAGACAGGTTGAAGCAGGCTGGTGAGTGCTACAGTCGGAGTGGCAATCTCCACAAACAGCTTGTGAATTCGGGTTATGCAGAGTGTGAGGTTCACATCAGAGCTAGCAGATATTCTGCATAAGAAAAATAAATAACAACTACATGAACAAACATACAATATCAAAATGCCTAATACTTGTAAAACAAACTTACAAAGGTACTTGCACTCTCAAATAAAAATTCACTTAAGGTTTCACTGAGAAACACATTACCTTCCTGCCTCTGCTGTGGTTGTGTCAACCAAGGGTTTCAGAAGAGAATGGGTGACATGCAGAGCAGTGAGTGAGGCTGAGTGTCTGGCCATTTGAGCCACAGTTAGCACAACCACTCGCAAGATTTCTGGCTTAAGTTCCTCTTGCAACAACAACTCTGCTATCTGTTGGAAATACTCAGCATGGAGACAAATTTCTAAACAACAAAACAAAGAAATATCTGAGGCCTCAAGAACAAAGCACCATCTCAAAAAGATGTAAAAAGATTTCAACATTGGCACTCAAATACCTGTGGTCCAGCAGTAGAATATAACTGATCCATGTTACTGATCTTGGCTTGGGCAATCAGACTAGCAACCGCCTCACATTGCTGCCAGTCCCTGCCGTTACAGATGGAAAGCCCAGCTCCAATAACTGCAGCAACTCCACCTGGCTGAAACATGAACCTGCGAACAAGGAGCAATCCACACACCTTCTTGAACCACACCCCTCGCTGAAATGAGAAAATAAATTTATTCATTTCCAAATTTTGAATATAATTCTAATAATTTCCTAAATACTTGATATCTTAAATAATTTGATACAAAAAAAAATCACACAAACAGTTAAAAATAAACCAAACTTTTCATTATGAGAAACACCAATCCTTACCTGTGCCAAACCCTTGAGAAGCAAAATTTGTTGAATTGCATGGTTGGTGTCCATGCACATAAAGAGGCTTTCCATCTGATCTCGGAAGAAGGCTGTGTCTTCAGGGAAGTTTTTAACCTCCACAGGGCCAAAGCACAGCTGCAGTATGGAACTCAAAACCTCAGGGAACATTGGCCCTCGCATGCAAGTTCCTAGTGTTTCATGCTGAAGTGAAAGAAAAAATAGTTATCTTAAATTAATAACAACAAAAATACCTTTAAAAATTGACAATCTGATTAACAACTTAATATTCACTAAAGTCTTACAAAAATTGCAATGTTGGATACGTCATTCTGCAAGAACCAATGATGACTAACCTTCATCACAGGTAGAAGGCTTTTGAAGATCTCACTAAGGACAGCATGTCTGCATTCCTGCGGTACAGAAGGAAGGTCGCTCCCCAAAATGAACTTGTTCTTTGCAAGCATCATCTTCACATAGAGTGATGCCTCATTATCTAGGCACCCTAACACTGCAGTATAGAAAAGGACCCGACACACTGCCTCTACATCCTGTGGCATTTAAACATCCATCATTAGTTCCAGTATATAATATGAACAAGAGAAAGGAAGAGTAAAAGGAACTGAAATCCACAGACAGAATGGTAGAACTGAACAAGAGTACGATATCCTTCTCTGTACCATACTGAATTATTTGGAAGAAAAAAAAGTAATAGAAAAAAGTACAAGTGACCTTAATATTCATAATTTGGGTAATAATAATAAAACTATAAATACCTTAGCCTGTTGTACACTAATCAGATCTGGTGGTGCAGGAGGTATCTGAGCTATACTTCTGCGACCCACTTTACTCTGGTCATTATTAGGTGGCTGACATGGTTTCTGGATTTCCTTTCCTAGGACACTTTGTATTCCTTGTAATATGGCAACAACCAAAAAGCCACATTCCAATCTGTGAAAAAATAATTTGTTTTTATTTAAACTTTCTTTTTACTATTCAATTTCATTATTAACAATAGTATGAAGCTATACTCACTCTTTTTTCCAAGAAAACTATGCCATCTTTGCTATTATTATTATGATCCCATCATCTGAAATAAGTGATTTACAAGTAACACTGATGATGATACCAAAACCGTTTATTCTCCAGTGAATAATAATAATGATAATAACACCATTAAACAATAATAACAACCCCACTAACCTGACATCCAAAGTGGTTGTATTAACAGCTGATAGGAGTTTTCTAAAAGTTGTGTGTATCTGCAAGTGAAAATCTGATTTGTCTTCACCATCTTGTGCTGTTTCACTCTGCTCCTCTTGCCATAAGCTCTTTTTTATTTTTTCTACTTCAAATGTAACTGTTTCAAGAGATGTGTGTCCAGGTGTACCTAGAAATAAAATACTGAGTGACAAACCTGTATAAATCATTAAAACAAAAGGAAATTAGCATGGATAATTGTCCTGACTGATAGTGCTGAGATGCAGTGGAAAGACGCAGAAAAATTAACAATTCTCCCTTATAAAGAAATTAATATGACCATCACTGCTACATAAGTGAAGGATAAAAATTGCAATTAGATACTAAAAAGGAATCTGCAGTGACTAAATGGCCCCTCTGCCAAAAAGTATGGACATTATTCCTCTATGATATCGTCACAGGTTAAAAATTAGAAAAATTTAGAATAATTAAAGCTTGTAACAGATGCAGTCAAGTGAATGCCATAGTCCGCTCATATTCACCAGCCTGTCATAAACCAGGATGTTTATACCACATATAATCAAGCAAGACAGACCCTAGACTAGTTCCCCATTACCTGGGAATTCTACAAACTATATAAATGAATACTATCCTTTTACTGAACACTTAGCCCTGCCCATGAATGAAATCAGTCTTAGTGTCTCCTTTACACTACAGGGGATCCCAATTATTCATCATTAACAATCTGATGAATAGCAATACACAATATCCCACATGAATACATAACAAAAAGGTGTAAGGTAGACTGGGACCATGATATCCAGTGGTTTACTTAAGCATCTAATCTTTATGTATATTCATAATATAATACTGAAAGGAGTAATATTTACATTTTAGTAAATAGAGGTTAATACATAAGAGAAATACAAATAACGGATTTGATAATATTGTGTAATCACCACTCATAACACACAAAATGAGTGGATTGACCGTGTGTGGAAGAAGCAACAGGCACTAGGATCAGATGGATATAAGAGGTTCATCACCTTTCACATCATCCTTTTCATCTTCATTTTCAACCAGGTTTATTGTGAAGGAATTAACAGTGTTGAGGTGGATGGGCAAGGATCATCATGCATTCCATGTTCAATATGATACTGTTACAAAAAATTTGGCCCAACTGTCCATTATGGCACCCAATATCAGATGCATTTGCTGCTTTTATTTTGTTTATTATTAGTTCCATTTTATTTAGTTTCAGCACACTGTGTTGACAATTTGCTTTGGGTGGGTTTGCATCAGGCATTATCCAATAAAGAGTCCAGAAAGCAAATCAACAATAACACTTAACAGTGCCAGACACTGCACTGGTTTGACAGCAAAGGCCATTTTAAGTGGTTCTCTTTAGCAATGAGTACGAACTTTCTCATTTTAGTACATATATAAATATTCTGGAGATTATGTTTTATTACTTTTATTACTATTCAGATTAGCATTATAACTTTGGTTAATATTACCAAGAGTGACACTCATGCTCCTGAGTTTCAGCTCCTATCTTCTAGTGTACATCGAGGTGATACCAATGTTTGTTGGAGAGTGTCAGGGGGCGGATCTCCCCCCATCAACCTACCCTTAGGCAGTCCCCAGTCAGGGAATGCAGACTGTTGATTAAATTTTGACACAGAGTTGCGGACTTAGTCTCTGACAAGTGCGTCCGTATTGTAAAGAGAAACTATAACTCTTTAAATTTTATTTTCTTATTAATTTCTTAAATGACATGGAGATATGTACATAAACTTTCAGAACCCAACAACAAAACAGTGAAACACGATTTACAATTCAACTCTACGAAATCACATTTTTACATCGTGTCCATCAACACAAACCACTTAGACTTTACACTATGATTCAGCCCCTGATAACTAGATATAAAGGAATAAATGCGAAAAAATAATTAATAATGCAAAAGCAACAGCTGATCATTGCGTCAAACCTCCACACTTGAACACCATCTCCCATTAAGAATAACTAATAAAATGAACCTTCTAGTTGCATTAATCAATTGCACGATAACATATTCACTGTAGCAAATAGTAATTTTTTCATGTTGTTACCTAATACTGCTAAATCTTTGACGTGTTGAAACAGCACTTGCAAGGCCATGTTTCCCTTTCCGACATTGATGCTGGGAAGTTGTGTTTACAATTTGATCGACCAATGAGAAAGAGAGTTGGTTGGAAGCTCTATTCTGATTGGTCGAGAGAATGTTTACCGACAGGAGAGTAAAAAAAAAATCAGAGTCGTTCTTTTAGTAATAGAAAAAGTTGTGCCTAATTTGTTTAAGTAATGTTGAGATAAGGTATTTACACTGTATGTGTATTTTGAGTAATATCTTTTACTAATATGTTTATTTGACTTCTGTATTAGAAACTACATGTCTTTGCTGCAACTCGTTTAACAAATGCAGAATACCTAAAAGTCTGATATTTGTCCCAACACCTTTATATGGAAGAAAAAAAAAGAGATTAATATATATATATATATATATATATATATATATATATATATATACACACACACACACACACACACACACACACACACACACACACACACACACACACACACACACACACACACACACACACACACACACACTCACACACACACACACACACGCGCACACACACACACACACACACACACACACACACACACACACACACACACACACACACACACACACACACACACACACACACACACACACACTCACACATTATATACTACAATGTCTTGGAAGATATATATTCATTTGTTCATATAAAATATGAGCATACGAAATATGAGCAAATGAAGATTTATCTAAAAAGGATAAACTGCATATATAACTTCATCCATCCATATACATATATATAAATATAGACAGCTGGATATAGACACACACGTAGCATTGGAATGGTAATCTATTGGCATTTCTGACTTGTAAGACCATTATATACCATGAATTTGGAGTTTTCCAATGGTTGTATGGTAGATGGAATGGTAGTTCAGGGGAACTCCACATTCCATTGAAGCTACAGAGTGTGATGTTTATCCTATGGAGGGATAAGCCTTTAGTGTTTTACATGACACCTATAGACACCTGGTCTCGGGGACATAAGGGTGATCCTCTATAGGCCTTGTAAACAAGGGCACCACTGTGCTCTGTGCAGGGTCGGCACGGTCAGGGGAGGCCGAGGCGCTTATGTGGCACTTGTGCCGCAGTTCAGTACTAACTGTCGTCGAACATGGGTGTTTGTGGGGATTTATCTTGAGTAGATATTCCTAATTCCGGTTATAACAGTACTGAATTCCGTGTGACTATACGAAGTAGATGAGACATGGGTCTGCATCTCTTCGTACTCTCCAAGGGGAGAATTTTGGACTCGTCAGGAGACGAGGAAATTCAATTGTAACAGTAAGTACCCATTAAAGGTATAACATTATTTCATGTGTTTATAATCACCCATTGATATAATACTGAAATAAGTAAAGTTTACAAGAAGGAAAGTCACACGTAAACCTGGACATATTATTCTTATAACAAACACTGAACCCGCTCTGGAGAGAGTGGAATAAAAATCTGTTATCCAGTGGCCTACACGCGAGTATATTTGGTTATATTCACTTGTTGCCATCTTTACTCAAGGGTGGTAAGAAGTGGTATAGCCGCACTCAAAAGACGGCTAGGTAACACATACACACACACACACACACACGCAAACACACAAACAAACACACACACACACACACACACACACACACACACACACACACACACACACACACACACACACACACACACACACACACACACACACACACACACATACACATACACATACACATACACACACACACACACACATACACATATATATAGAGGGTGGCATAACTCAGTGGTAGAGCCCTGGCTTTGCAATCGCAATGTCCTGGGTTCGCGCCCGGCTCTCAGTCGACTCAGCTATGAATGAGGACTGATATGCTGACTTTAGCATGTTGGTGTCAAGGTCGGGGCGGAAAGGAATTGGCCACCCTACCGCATAATCCTGCGGCCTAGTAAGCATGTTTCTCTGCAAACATGTCCCCTACGTTCACATGGACATGGGACCAACTTTGACTTTTTGATATATATATATATGTGTGTGTGTGTGTGTGTGTGTGTGTGTGTGTGTGTGTGTGTGTGTGTGTGTGTGTGTGTGTATGCATATCATCATCCTCATCAAGGGGCTTACGCTGACGGGGACGCATGGCCGCATCCACCCTTTGCTTCCAGCCACGAGGGTCCCTCATGGCGAGTCTCCAGGCAGGCCCTCGGCCCATCTCTAAGTCCTCGCGAGAAGTCTCGTCGAGCTTCACCAGCCATGACTTTCTAGCTGTCCCACGGACCTCCACCCAGGATTGTCTCGCATAGAGGCAACCAAATGGGCAGGGTCATCCACAGGGAAACGAGCTACATGCCTATATAGCCTGAGTTGGCGATCCCGGATTATGCAAGTAACAGTAACTACTGTGTAGCCGTCGGCTGGACACATGGTCCTGCCAACTGTACCCCATGATCCGGCGAAGAGACTTGTTACAAAAGGCATCAACATGAGACTCCAAGGCACTGGATAGCATCCAGGTTTCGCTTCCATAGAGCAAAAATGGCAGTATCAAGGCCTTCAAGGCATTTGGTCCTTCTGCATAGGTACCAACATCTCTAAATGCTCTTATTGATCGAGTTCATGGCTCCTGCTGCCAGACCAATCCGTCTACTGACTTCTTGGTCTGACAGCCCAGAGATATGGACTACACTGACAAGGTATGTAAGGCTCTCTGTGACTTCACCGTCCTCACTGCAAGCATGGATCGACTGAAGGGAAACCCTCCCTAACAGGCCCCCAAAGTCCTGAATCTTGGTCTTGGTCCAGGAGATCTCTGAGCCCAAGGGCTTCGCCTCATTGCTAAATGCATCAAGAGTCAGCACTAGTGACGCCAGGGACTCAGATAGGTTAGCAACATCATCGGCAAAGTCAAGGTTTGAGACCTTGATATTGCCCAGCATTGCTCCACACTGACTTTGGGTAGTAGCTCTGCCGATTATCCAGTCTATGTAGGTGTTGAAAAGTGTTGGTGCATGGACACAGTCTTGCCTCACCCTTGCATTAACAGGGAAGAAGTTTAACAGGCCCCCACCTCACTTTACAGTACTTTCAGTACCAATATATATATAAGCTTGCTATTAGGCCAATAATTCGTGTCGGAATTCCCCTAAGCCTCAGAATCTCCCATAGCGGTTCTCGATGCACCGAGTCAAACACCTTCTTGAGGTCGATGCAGGCCGCAAGCAACCCACAACCGAACTCATGACGGCGTTCCACAGTTACTCGAAGCGCTAGAATACGGTCTATTATGGACTTGCCAGGAGTGAATCCAAACTGCTCTGGTCTCTGGTGCCTTAGTAGGTGGTTGCAGACCCGTTTCAGAAGAATGTGGGCAAAAACCTTACCTGGTATGCTGAGCAGTGTAATGTCACGATAGTTGCTACAGTCCCAACGATGCCCTTTCCCTTTCCAGCGAGGGATGACCACGCCCCTCAACAAGTCAGGGGGAATGGTACCAGACTACCAGATGGCAGTCAAGACTGCATGCAAGCCCTGTGCCATAGATTCACCCCAGCCTTTAGGAATTCAGCAGGGATATTACATATGCCTGCAGCTTTCCCACATTTCAACTTGGAAATCGCCATCCTAACTTCAGTCAGGGTAGGAGGTTCCTCCTCACAAGTATTGTGATACCACTTGCACCCAAACTAACTGTTGGAGGGTCTACCTGGTACAGTTGCTCCAAATACTCAGCCCAGCATTCACGAAGCCCAACATAATCTGAGATGATCTGTCATCCACTGAGCGGATTGCAGTCATCTATGAGGAGGGCTTGGAGTTCAGCTTTCTCAGGGCTTGGTAGGCAAGGTGATTTACCAAGATTCCTGATGAATTTTCCTTGTCCTTTCTCAGCAATGTCCGAGCCCTACGCATCAAATACCGACGCAAGTCCTGATTCAGCCGAGCCATGTGACAGCTTCAATGGCATCCATTGTCTCCAGGAAGATGGAATTCTGCCTTGCCCTCGGGCATACGCCAATGGACTTCGCGCTTGAAGAACTCCCACAGAGCAACTGGGTCTGTCAAGTTTATGAATCGATCAGACACTGCGTGGCGAACCCACGGGCACACTCTTCCTCCCTCAGTCTGCCCAAGTGAAACACCCTAGAGTGGCCACTGGAAGGATGAGGAGTTTTAGAAGTGGACCCGTAGGGTAGTCACTACCAACCTACGGTCAGTGCCACAGAACTCGGCACTCGTAAACTCTGCAATTCTGGAGAATCTTCCATCGAGTGCTGACAAAAATGTGGTCGATCTCCTTGGCCACAGTATATAGTGACCTGTCCTTGCGATATCTCTCGCCTCACATACCAGAAAAGCCAAGTGTTTCTTATCTCACAGTAATTCCACTGTCCCTAGCCGACTCCAACAGGTCTATAGCCGTGATAATGACGAAGTGACCTTAGAACATGCTAATCCAACCCTTATAGCTCGTAAACAATTCTCATGCTGTTACTCTGATGTCTTAGTGTATAATTATGCCTTGTTTATACTCAAGATGTTCGTTAGAAATGTTTATTCTGAATCACTTAATATGTTATCGCTATCATTATCGATATTCAAATATATTTATGTTTTATGAATACTCAACATTTCTGTCTCCCTATCACGAAGCTTTTTAGTCTTGTAAACACCATAACTCTCTTCTTACATACAACTGTATATATGGTACCCTTGTTCCTTCACCACGAAACCGCCATGTGACCTAATGTATCTGAATTTGTGTTCATGCATTTTTTTCATGTTTTAAGTCGAAGTTTGTTCATAGAAATTTCTAAGCAGTCCACACAGACCGCTCGCCACGCGGGCCTGGCAGGACGCGCTGCTCCTCCCTGGGCGCCTCTGCCTTGCTTGTCCACTGTACACCAACTGCCATACCCCCGTGCTAATACTCTACACCTCAAGAACCGAACCAGTACCATCACAGAGGAACACGAACTCACCACATCACATTAGTACCACTCAAGTGGGGACACGTCCTCCTAATATTATTACATTGATGACA